AAGTCTGTGCGGCCCCATAGACGGCAGCCCACCAGGGCCCCCGTCCCTGGGATTCTCCAGGCAAGAACATTGGAGGGGGTTGCCGTTTCCCTCTCCAATGCATGCATGCGGGCTAAGTCGCTTCAGTCATGCCTGACTCTCTGCAACCCCATGGACAGCAGCCCACCAGGCACCTCTGTCCACCGGATTCTCTAGGCAAGAACACTGGAGTGGGTTGCCATTTCCTTCTTGTGAGGTTATAAATCAATAAAATGATTCTCCTATTTAATTCTTATAATTCTGCTACGTGTGTATCATTAAGCCATTTTGCCCATGAAGGAAACTTGTGGGAAAGGGATGAGATAACCTCCCCTCCCAAGTTTAACCAGTCAACACCCGCACATTGAGGCCTGCAACTCGTCTTCTGACTCCGTATCCCATCCTCTGTCAACCGTGCCATGCTAAGGCTTCCAAATGTTTTAAGTGGAATCCCATTCTACCAGATGGTAATTTAAAAATTTGCATAATGAAACAGACGTTGCTTCTTGCTAATATGTTTTTCCAATATTCATGAATATATTCTGTGCTCTATAATCAATGATCTGAGACAAGTTTTTTCTCACTAACTGCAGCTCTGGTAGCTTCTCCTATATCAATTTACTCAATGTCACAATGGATCCAGATCTGAGCAAGGCCCCATTTTGAATCAGTGTTGTGTATGTGGACACATACATATCACACACACATACACACACACATATATTTATGGTCAAGCAGCTCTGGCATTTCTTTTTTTTTTCCATCATTAGAAGTTAACTCATTACTGGAGGTTATAAATGTCTCAGTGCCTTTCCTGGTACTATTGAAGAGAGGTTGGATTAAAACTGCTGATACCTCAGAAACTGAAAACATTCCTTGGGGGTATGAATTTTAGGTATACTTCTCCTTTTACTTTACTTGGGATAGTACAAATATAATGCCTTCCATTTAGAGTTATACTTGACCTTTGAAAGAAAACGCCATTGGTGCTGTGAATCATTGGGCAGTTCTTGTGTAATACACAAAGGTAACTGTTCAGAATAACCTCTCAAGTCTATTGTTTAGTGATACTCTTCTCTGTGGCTCAGACAGTAGAGAATCTCCCTGCAGTGTGAGAGACCCAGGTTTGATCCCTGGGTTAGGAGGACCCCCTGGAAAAGGGAATGGCTACCCACGCCAGTATTCTTGCCTGGAGAATTCCACGGCCAGAGGAGCCGGGAGGGCTACAGTCCATGGGGTCGCAATGAGCAACTCTCCACGGGAGCTCTGTAAGTCTCCTTTTCCAGACTGGTACTTGATAATCCTAACTTTCCCTGTTTTCCAGCCCGAGAGGTGGCAGAGGCAGAGGTAGTTTGCTGACTCCATCATACCACTGTGGGTTTTGTGTTGTTTCTTTGCTTTTGTCTTTTTGGTTCCTTAATACATAGTTAGAAAGTTTTTTACAAGCAATTCTCCTTGTTCAGCATAACTATATGTTTCTGTGTTCCTGACGGAAAACCAAGCAGCGTGCAGGGAATGGAAATAGCTGAGTGTTGATAAGAGTGTTCAGCTGCAGCTGGAATGCTCTAGGGGGCAGGAGGAGGGACAACCAAACAAAAAGAATAATCCAGAGGTGTCACAACGGACTTCTTATGGAAGGACGACTGACCAGTCAGTGTATTCCTCAGTCACAGGGACATTGCTACTTGACTATCAGTATAACACGTTCTCTATCACCATTAATGGTTACTGTAGGCTACCAGTAGCTAACATTGATTAAGTACCAAAAACACACCAGGCGTAATGCAGGTCATAAAAATATGCTACTGCATTTAATCCTCAGAACAATATTATGGGGTAGGCATTAATTTCATGTTCACTTCATCGATGAGACAGGTTTTGGTGGCATTAAATAAATTGCCCATGCTTGTGCCATTAGTAAAAGGAGCAAAAATTTAACGATAAACACAAGCAGAATGCAACTAAGGAGGAATTACTGTGGATAAAACTGTTGGCACAGGCCCGTTAGGGTATTTCTCTTGTCCAGCCCCTCCAGTCTTTCTCCTTCCTGGGGAATCTATGTTCACAGGGAACTCCTGACTGCGTCTACTACGGCAGATGCTTCTCTCTCTGCCAAACGCAGAAGATGAAAAATAAACTATTGAGAGCACGGACTGCTCAGACAGTCTGTTAGCAGCACACCCATACTGATCTATAAACCAATAGACACCTATAAACCACCTATAAACCAAACAGGTTTTGTATAAGATGAACAAATGATTTTGGAAATTATTCAGCTTATTTGTGTGTGACGGAGAACCATCTGAAAGCTTCAGGCTCTGTAATTACTAGCTGATTAAGGTTCTTGTTCATTTGCTTGTAAAATATATTTATCATCATCTATCTACTTATATATCTTACAATTTTTTGAGCTATAATATATGCATAGTAAGATGCAAATATTGGGTGAGTGCTAAGTCGCTTCAGTTAGTGTCTGGCTTTTTGTAACCCTGTGGATTGTAGCCTGCCAGACTCCTCAAGAATACTGGAGTGAGTTGCCATGCCCCCTCCAGGGGATCTTGCCTGCCAAGGGATCTTATGTCTCCTGCATTGGCAGGCAGGCTGTTTACCACTGGTGCTACCTGGGTCGCTGAGAAAACTGTAAACCTGACTAGTTGCCCAAAGTTTACAGGTTGATTACCAGAATTTGGGTCTCCTACCATCGACTCCATTTTAGGTAGAAATTTTTTAAATGTATAAGGAAGTCACATGATAGAAAATATGTAAGAGGTAACAATGTGAAGATAGTTTCATATTGACAGTCTAAAATATATTAGTTGGCAACTTTATTCATAAAAATGAAGACAGTGTTCTGCATCCTGAAACACAAAAGAGTACTAGAAAATGTTTTGAAATTGTCAAAAACTGAAATATTCAAATAATCGAAAGACTACTTAAATGCTATCCTTTTTTTTTATCATAGTAAATGGGATTATTTTAATGCTGCAGAATCTTCAGATTATTGTTAGGATGGGTTATTACAAGCTATTAAATATTTAAAATTAAATATTATATTTTATATACATTGTAAAAATTATTTGAGAAAGTCATCCTTAAAAATTTATATTTGGTCATAAAAGGGTGACTATAGGAATCACTTGCTTAGCTTTGAACACAGTGGTACTAAAGGTATGGCTGTGGATTTGGTTTTGTGTAGAAAAGGCTGCTTCCTTTTATGTAAAACCATAGGCCAATATTGCTACCCTTCTGTTTTGAGTATCTGCACAGCTGGTTACTGAATATAAATGGAGACCTAGTTTATGATTGTAATTCTGCCACTAATTAACTATGTGACCTTGGAGAAAGCAAAATGTCTCTACATCTAAGGAGTTGAATTAATAACCAAAGTTGAGTTTCCAGTATGTGTGAGACTTAATGATAGTGCCTGAGGATACAATAAGCAGAGCTGAGCATCTTTCCTGCCCTCTGGGAGGAAGGAGGCACGCAGAAATAAACCAAATATTGCCACTGCAAAGAGAAACTTAGCAAGACAAACGAGGAGCAGTGCTGGGAAGGAACAGTAACAGGTGTGGAGGGGGAACAGAAGAGCCTCATTTAGTCTGAGAGAGGAGTCCACGCCGAGACCTGAAGAATGGAGTCCTTCACTAGATGGTGCAGAGAGGCAGGAGGAGAAGAAGCGAGGAGAGGAAGGGCCCCAGACGGGAAGGGACATGGGGCCCTCCGGGGCCTGGAAGAGGACCCGCGCGGCTGAGCAAAGAGAATGAGACCCTTACAAGGGATCACGGAGCTTCTTCCCTGCGTAAAATGTCTGTTCTGTTTTTCTAATTTTCCGTTTTTATGCCTTGGGATATTTGTTTGTTTGTTTGAATAGAACTTTAAACAACATTTACTTTGTTTTCATATGTGTGTGTACGGTCCAGTGAAACTGGGGATAAAATTAAAATTAAACATAAATGGAATTATAGGAGAAATAGCTGATTGTAGGGATGTGGACACTCTCCCACTTAAGAGACTCTAGAGATGAAGACAGGAAGTTAGTAAAATAAAACATATGACGCAAATAAGGAAAGTGGTTGTGATGTGCTGAGAAGGGAGGAAGATGTTCTAGAGGAAGTGAAACTGGCAAAGAAAAGGAATCATCTTGAGGAAATCTTAGGGGTAGTTCACAACACTGATAAAGTGTCAAAGCTGACCCAGGATTAGTAGTATAACAATCCACCGAGGGGTAAAAGAGGTGCTTGCCCCATATCACAGTAAAAGAAGAAGGCTAGTGCTATTCATATCATGTTCAGTAAGTCATTTTTACAGGAGACAAAACACACTAGCTCTTAGTATTTTTACATTACAATGTTCAAATTTTAAATTAGTATACTAAATAACTGTTCCACTGTATTTTCCTATATGTATGCATGAGGAATTTCTATATATGTATACATGCATAATATATTTATAACATAGACTTTTTAACATTTTGACAAAAATTTTTTAAACGTCATGGAAAATCCTATTTCCCACATTGATTATTAACATCACTCTGCATGGTTTCCTTTTATGGTCCCACACTACCAGGCAGAGCAAGACTTGTCCAAATTTTTACTGAATTTTTGTGTTGTATGAAAGTGGATGCATTTTAGAAGGTTGGACTCGTTGTCTGAATTTATAAATCTCTCAGTCTTAAAGAAGTCCAAGTTAAGAATTCCAATTTCAAGATCTGGAAAATAACATTGGTTATCATCCAAACATCAGAAACCAAATTTTAGGTTTAAGTACCACCAAAGTCTAAAAGCCCAAGATCTACTATACCGAAGTAGGTACAATCAAAAGAGGAAAATCTGTCCCTCTTATATTTTATTGGGACTTACTTTTTTTTACTGTAAAATATTATTTAGATGTATTAATCAATAATATCTGTGAATGAAATGTACAGGAGAGTTACAAGATAGTTTAAGCCAAAGGGAAACAAGGATGGGAAGTTTACATACCGACTGTAGAAATCATCTCTGTAGTAATCATAGTCAAACACATAGCCGCTGGGGAGGGAAGCAAGAAATTAGTTGTCGACATCGCAGCGGTCTCGGTGTTCATCTATACTGTGAGGGCCACAAATCTATGTTGCTTTTACATATTTATTTTCCAATGTAATTATGTATCCAAAGGCTTTACAAGATAATGTCCAACTGGATATAATACCATGTCAAACTCTTATTATATGTTTGGTAATGTAAACACTGATAATGGATTGAGTGGTTTGGAATGAAGATGAGAACAGGTAGCAAAATTAATGTTTTTAAATACTTGTAATACTTACTTTAGAACCATTTTTCCTCAGACAAGATATAATATAGCTATGCCTTCTTCCTAAGGTATGTATAATGAGGCTAAATAAACAATAAACAGATGGTATACAAATAATATAAATGGAAAAGTTTAATGTAAGTAAATCCATGGCTAATTCATTTCAATGTATGACAAAAACCACTGCAATGTTGTAAAGTAATTAGCCTCCAACTAATAAAAATAAATGGAAAAAAAAGAAAAGTAAATACAAATGTGGTTTCCTCAGAAATTCAGCATTTTCTTTTTATTTTAAAAACCTTGCTATTCAGTAACTTACGTAGAGAAAAATTAACAAAAAAGAAACTTTGAGTCTTACCAACAATGACAATATTGTAGGGCACTTAAAGAAGAGTTAATAAGTACATTTCAGGGATAAGATTATTACTAAACTCCTTAAATGAATGTATAATAAAATTTCCCCCATCTACTTATATAATTCTTAGAGTTTACAAGACACTTTATACACATTATCACCTTTTATTAATAATTTTAAGCTCTCAGAACAGTTCTATTGGTTACTGTGACTGGGAAAAATTAAAGTGCAAGGGACCTCAGTGGCTAGCTCAGATTTTATATCTAGCAAGTGACAGGGCTGAGACTGGAGGGAAAGACTTCTGAATCCACATCTGGAGTTGTTTTTCATCACCATGCAACCATCCTCAGCCTGGAAGAAATTAAATGTTACGCTAAATGGAGTACTGGTATTACAGGGCAGTAATCATTTTTAATATTTGTTCATTTATTTTACTGTTATAAAATATGCATAACTAAATTTACATTTCTAATCATTTAAGTCCATTTTAAATGTCAAGATTCAATGGAAATGTTGTGCAATTAACCATTTCCAAAAATTTTTTATCATCTCAAACAGAAACTCTGCATCCGTAAACAATATTTCCTCATTCCCTCGCTCCCCGGCCCCTTCACAAAGCCTCAGTGACCACTATTCTACTTGCTATAGCTGTGAATTTGTCTATTCTAGGTGCCACATATAAGTGAATCATATACTCTTTGTCCTTTTTTGTTTGGCTTATTTTACCTGGTATAATTCTTCAAGGCTTATCTATGTTCTACCACATAACAGAATTTCAATCCCTTTTTATGCCTGAATAAATCTCCACTCGTATGTGTAGGTGTATATGTGTGTGTGGATTTTTGTTTGTTCATTTGTTGATAGAATCTGAATTGTTTCCATCTCCTGGCTGTTGTGAATACTCCTACTACGAACTTTGGTGAGCAACCATTTTTTGGGGGGCTCCTACTTTCATCCCTTTTGAGTATATAACTAAAAGTAGAATTGCTAAGTCAGATGATAATATGGTATCTAACCACCATACAACAGGCGAGTAATTTTATATTCCCCAAATATCAATTTAATGGTCCTTCATAACTTTTCTTTTGTTAAGAAAATTGAAAGAACACATTGAGGAGGGCTTGTCATTCGTGGTTTTCAGGATAGATTACGCATTTGTCCTCACACCCATTATGCACAGGGCAGGGGTACTGACCTAGCATGATTGGCTTATCAGATAGGGCTGGTTCCTGTCCAACACAGCCTGACGGAACACAGTGAGTTTGAACTCAAGTTCTGAAATGCAAAGTGGAGACCTACTTCATGTGAATGTCTAGATGGAGACCGAGCATTGTCTAACCAGAGCAACACTGCTGTTTATCTCCCTCTGCTAGCCAGAGAAGACCAGGAGACCACTGCCAGAGCAGTCAGAACAAAAGTGGCCTCTTTTGCCCCACAGTTGCAGATTGCTAAAGTTATAATGATTTATGCTTTAGTTGATATTACTGGTGTTAGACTCAACTATGGCACTGAGTCTAGGGATTTTAAAGACAACCTATTGGCTATCATCAAATTCAAGGGGTAAGTTTCACCTCAAAACTTTCCTGACATAGCAGTGCATATAATCTTCATTGTGAAGAGATATGATGGCACCTTAGCCAAACTTTTTGAAAAATCTCAAGTTTAAGGTTATGCTACATTCATACACATTTGTCATACGTAATCCCTGTTATCTCTTAGGGTTGATCATTTTTTTTTCCATTTATTTNTTACTGTTTCTATGAGTTTGGCTTTTTCAGATTCCACATATAAGTGACACCACGTAGGATTTGTCTTTCTCTGACTTATTTCACTTAGCATAATGCTCTCAAGGTCCGCCACGTTTTCATAAATGACAAGATTTCCTTCTTTGTCATGCGGAATAATACTCCATTATATATACACAGCACATCTTCATCCATTCAGCTGATGACACCTTAGGAAGTGGTGGTTCCGTGTTGTGGAGGACCTGTTAACTAAGTCTACAGTGGTAGTAACCTCGTGGTTTGTAAGTCTGTCACATTAATATCTTGTACACCAGTGCCTTCTACAGGAGATCAGTCCTGGGTGTTCACTGGAAGGACTGATGCTGAAGCCGAAACTCCAGTACTTTGGCCACCTCATGCGAAGAGTTGACTCATTGGAAAAGACCCTGATGCTGGGAGGGATTGGGGGCAGGAGGAGAAGGGGACGACAGAGGATGAGATGGCTGGATGGCATCAACGACTCGATGGGCATGGGTTTGAGTAAACTCCGAGAGTTGGTGATGGACAGGGAGGCCTGGCGTGCTGCGGTTCATGGGGTTGCAAAGAGTCGGACACGACTGAGCTGAACTGAACTGATGCCTTAAACTTGCTCAATGTTCTATGTCAATTATACCTCAACAAACCTGGGAAAAAGAATACTTCAGTTAAATACAAATATATGTGTAATAGCATTCCTGTTTGGATAACACAAAAGAGTTTCCTACCAATCAAAGCAAAGGAAAAAGAAAAGACAATTAAAATAGTATATCATTTTAAGAGTTTTGTTGAGGCATAGTTTCTGAAACATGGTACCTGAGGAGAGAAACATTCTAGTTACTGAAACAATATTCTTGGTGCCTTTCCATACATAATCTGATTTGCCCTTGACAATAACCTATAAGATGGAGAATATTACTCCAACTTTACAGGACACTGAGACCTAAAGATATTAAATACCCTAAATAACACAGATAAGTATTCTAACACAGATAAGTATTCTAGTATTCTAGCATAGTCATTCATATGCTCATTTACCAAAATGTGATTAAGGACCTATAATCAGGAACTATATTAGGCACTTAGGTTTAGAAGTGAAATAGTTTCTTTTTTGCTCACCAATCTCACAATCTAGTGGTGATTAAGATGGTCCTTGATATCTTTTCCATCTTGACTAAACTATAGGCAGATTTCTTTCTGAACAGGGGCCTCTGACCTCTCTTTTGTTAGAGCATTTAGTTAGAACACTCTGTAAATTGTAGTTGTAAATTCCCTGCCATTCACACATGTAAAACTTCTCCCAGTCTCATGCCTTGTCATTCTTAAGGACCTGGGAACTATCTTTGAAATTAAATAATACCAATCATGCTAATGATAATAATTATATAATGTTGAGAAGGTATTAACTTGAATAGATAAATTTGATATTAAGTATCAGACATGGTGACAGACATTTTAGATGCTTTAAATAGCTATTGTTTGATGGGACAATGGTTTTCACATGGTGAAAATTCTCAATATTTTATGATATGACTGCATAGAGAGAATATGTAGCTAAATTGTTTCATCTTTTATTCTGAAACTCTTTTAAAAAATATTATAATATCAGAGAGTAGAGTAAGATGAAAATATGACAAGTTACTAATGTGGATGTCAGTGATGATTCTACTCATAATTCTAATACCTTTAAGAAATACCTCAGTAATTTACCAGCCTTCTGGAAATTGAAGAGTGCATGAGAGAAAAATGTTTATTTTTATTTTTTCTCAGTTGATGCTTAAATTATCTTGTCCAATCTGCTTATTTTCTTGTTCAATTCTGACTGATGAGGCATATTTGCAAGGACAAGTTATAGCTAAGCACCCTAAATTGTTTGAACTCCAAGTTGCACTTTCTGCCATCATAAACTCAATTTCACCTGTCAAGTTAAAAATGAAATAAAATGTACAAGCAGTTCTGTGTAATCTTGACAAGGCTGCTTTTGCCTTTAAGGTTTGGACTTTTTGCAGAAGTGCCATGGCTGTAGTTGGTTCAGGGCCTAAGCTGTAAAATCAAGCTGGGTTTCCAAGGAAGAGGAAGAGATTCAAGGAGATGAAAAGAGATCAGCAGAGAACAAGTCTGATCTGTGTTTGCCAAGTGCTTTCCTCAGTATTCCTCCTGCTCTCAATTCTGTCTTTTTGTTTCCTCTCACAGATTCTCCCTCATAGAAATCCCTTCTTTTTTTCTTTCTGTGTGAACCTCTATTTGAAATTAGCTGTCAAAAAGTGACATTTCCAGGAGTCATATCCAGCACTGTAAGTATCTTATGTATCCTAGAATTGTGGTGCCAGGAAAAACTTATCTATTACATTAGAAAAGATCCTCTTTCCCTGAGATAAGCCAAGAGGGATGCTGTTATGCTCATGAGTTAATCTATTTTGGCTTTCTTTTTTTTTTTTTTTGTAAATTTATTTATTTTAATTGGAGGCAAATCACTTTACAACATTGTAGTGGTTTTTGCCACACATTCACACAAATCAGCCATGGGTGTACATGTGCCCCCCATCCTGAACCCCCTCCCACCGCCCTCCCATCCCACCCCTCAGGTCGTCCCAGTGCACCAGCCCTGGGCACCCTGTCT